AAAACGTTAAAAAAAAAAAAGAGAGAAAGTAAAATTCAGATGTATTGGATGATAAATCAGACACTTTTTATTCATCCTGGGGTTCATCCTGCAATTTCAACTCTGTTGCCTTTTTCCTTGTCTTTCAACCTCCCCCATCTGCTGGTCTTCTCTCATTGCTCAGAGGATGCATTTAGGTAAAGACTTTTAGGTGGCGCAAAGTTTAAGTGCTTGGCTGCTAACTGAAAGGTCACTGGTTTGAACCCACCCAGTGGTTCCACAGGAGAAAAGACCGATCTGCTTCCGTAAAGATTACAGCCTAGGAAACTCTATGGGGCAGTTCTACTGTGTCCTATAGCGTCACTATGAGTTGGAATTGACTTGCCAGCACACAACAACAGACCAACACACAGGTCCCCACATGCAGGCTTTGCTGCCCAAAGGAGCAAGCAGGTTCCTCCCCTCACCCCCAGAATCTCTTACATCTCATTGCTCCACGACCCTAACCATAGAGACTTGCCTCATCTGCTTTAATTTCTCAGCTTTATTTCACTACAGAAGAGAACATGCAAGAGCAGCAAGAGAGAAAGAAGGTGCGGGCGATCCATCTGGTAGGCTGTGGCTGCCAAGTAATCAGGGGCAGTCTTATTACCCCATCCACACACGTTTCCATGCAGATGAGCTACTACTAGGTTCAATTTATAATGCAAGTGTCTAGTCTATTTGTAGAACCTATTCTCTTAACTGCAGCCATTCTAGAAACTGATCTCGCTTCATGGAGCCATTACTCACCCCAATGTGCCAGACACAATGCTAGGCATTTTTTCAGCATACATTCATTTAACCTTCACAAGAACCATTAAGGAGGTCCTATTAGCCTCCACATTTGACAGTTGAGGAAACCGAGACTCAGAAAAGTTATTTGTCAATCGCTACAAGGTAGAACCAGAGAAAAAATACAAGTCGGCCTGAATCCCTGGTCATTCACTCTTCACTGCCAGTTTGCTGCTATCTGTGGCTCCTTATTTCTGGAAATTGTCTAGCTAGGCTGGTCATCCTCAGACTTTTGGATTTCATAGGGTAGGAGATTACAGAACTTTTATTTTGGGAAATAAGGCAATCTGTTTTTGTGTGTGTATGTGCATTTGACATACAGAGAAATATATATATGTATACAAAATCTCTCTCTCTCTCTATATATAGAGGTAGATAGATATAAATATACATATAAAGTCTATGAGTGGTATAAATGGTAATGCACTTGGCTGCTAACCCAAAGGTTGGAGGAAAGAGTCTACCTTGAGGCACCTCAAAAGAAAGGTCTGGTGATCTCCTTCTGAAAAATCAGCCATTGAAAGCCCAGTGGAGCACAGTTTTACTCTGACACACATGGGGCTGCCATGAGTTGGAATGTGACTCAATGGCAACTGTTTATATCTATAAAATCTAAGGAGTCCTGGTGGCGGAATGGTTAAAGCACTCAGTTGCTAATCTCCCTTCAATGGTCATCATTTTATAACGTAAAGGGCATTTTTAATAACAACAATGATAGAATAAGGAAGTTCATGAACTCACAATAAAGGATACTACTTTAAACCGAATATTTTTGTCCAGCGAGAAAACTCATTACAATGTTCTTGTTTTTTCTCATTTTACTTCTATCAGGAAAAACTCAGTAATAATTGGACAATCTTTTAGTAATCACTATTCTAACTTGTCAATGTCCCTTTTAAAATGCAATGTCAAAACATGAGCCCGAGAGTGGAGGTTTGGGTTGGCCAGCATGGGTCCCACCAGTGATGTGGGTATCTGTGATTTCTCTCTCCCAGAGACTTGAGCTGTGTCAGCCTGTGAGATCCAAGCAGGTGAGGCAGTGGGCGGGCCCAGAGCCCCTGAATCAGGGGTGAGGGGTGGGGGTGGGGGGGTCACTGGCTTTGACTTGATGCCCTAGACTGGATTCTTTCTTAGAGTGTGGTTTTAAAACCAGGCCAGGTTAAGTCTGTGACTGTCAAAGAGAAAAGACAAAACCTGGCAGATGGAGAAAGAAATGAGGTGTGGCAGAAGAAAGGAATGATCTGTGGGAATCTGAAATGTGATGAGTGTGTGGTAGGAATTCTGTCTTGAACATTGATCTGGGAAGGACCAGAATCCTACCCTGGCATGGAAGGAAAGGGAAGGAGAGGGCTCTTATGGGGAAGAAGAGAAAGGAGCTAACTGGGTAGAAAAAGAGATGGCGGGGATGGGGGAAGGTGAGGTGAAGTGGAAAGACCATGGGTGGGGGGAGAGAGAGAAGGAGGAAAGCAGATCAAGGGAAGGAGAAAATAACAAAGGGGGAAACGGTGGAGAAATGGAGGAACAGCAGGGACACAACTAGGGAGAAATGGTGAAAGTAGGAAATCAAAGGGATGAGCAGGAGAGGTAGGTGAGGTCTAAGCAAATTCCCCAGAAAGAGGGGATCTCCAAAGCTAGAGCAATGGGCCAAGAGACATGGTGAAGAGTTACAGTAAAACACAAAGTTGATGAATTGTTGGTGCTTGGCTGAAAGGTAGACTGAGGGCTGAGTGAAGATGGATCAAGGCCACAGAAGGTGTGGGCATCAGGCAAAAAGGCCTCCTTACTGACTAGCTCCATCCTGCAGGAAGGGTTGGGAGGCATGGATTGTGAGGCATTGGGGCCAGAAAAGAAAGTTTACAGGGAACCAAAGAAAAGCTGGCAAAGTAGATGAAGAAAGGAGAAGAAATGGAAGCTCTGCTATTTAAGTCATATGTTTTTCCCATCTCAAGCAGGATAAACCAAAATCCTTAGGATGGCCCCATGGTCTGTCCCCTCATTACCTCTCTGACCTCATCTCCTACTACTCTCTTGTGCTAGTTAATGTTAGGTGTCAACTTGGCTAGGCCACGATTCTCAGTATTATGTAATTATCCTCCATTTCATGATCCGATGTAATTATCCTTCATTTTGTGATGTCATGTAATCACCTCCATGGTATGATCTTATGTAATCAGCTAATCAATTGCAAGGGAGTTTCCCTCGGGGTGTGGCCTGCACCCAATATATATATGGATGTTCTGGCAAAGCTCACTTGCTTGCTCCGGATCCTGTTTCCGGCTCATCATCATTTGACCTCCGGTTCCTGGGACTTGAGCCAGCAGCTGGTCTTCTGACCTGCCGACTTTGGGATTCACCAGCTCTACAGCCATGTGAGCCAGCAGTCTGTCATCTGACCTGCCGACTTTGGGATTCATTGGCTTCCGCAGCCCTGTGAGCCAGCAGCCTGCCATATGACCTGCTGATTCTGGGTTCATCAGCCTCTACAACCATGTGAGTCAGGAGAAGCCTCCAGCCAACACCTGACTCATGGACTTAGGGACTTGCCAGCCTCCACAACTGTGTGCCATTTCATTGAGATAAATCTCTCTCTCTTTCTCTCTGTATATATATACATACACATGCTTCATTGGTTTTGCTTCTCTAGAGATCCCAGACTATGACATCTCCCTTTTGTTCCCTTTTATTTATTGCACTCCAGCTTCACTGGCCTTCTGCCACACCAAGCATGCTTTGTACCACAGGGCTTTTGCACTTGTTATTCCCTCTACCTGTAACACTCTTCCTCTAGAACCTCTTGTTTGTTTTTTTCTCTCACCCACTTCAAGTCCTTTCCCTCCTTCTTTTGTCTCCTCCCACATTCTAATGCAGTATCTAATTTACTTCTTTACTTTATTGTTTATCTCCCCACTAGAATGCGATCATCATGAGGGCAGAGATTTTGTTTGTTGCTGTCTCTGCACAGCACAGTACAATGACTGGAATGCAGTAGGCTCTCAATAGACATTTGAATGAATGCATGAATGAATGAAAGCATCAGTGGGCCATCTGACTGGAATGAGTTGGGAATAGAAGGGGCATGCATAGGAGGAGAAGAAGCAGATTGCTGAGGGCAATGTGTGCCTTTTACTTGGATGGGCTTTGTCTAATAATATTTCCAGTTGGAGGTCTCATCTAATGATACTTTTAATAAAGCCATCCAAAGGTGGGGCTAGAAATGAAAACAACTGTTGTCATTAAAGAGTCACAGAAGCGCCCTCCAGCTGTCATCTTGAGTTCAGTCTTGACTGACTGACCCTGTACTCCATCCAGAATCAGACACTGGCCATTTTCTAATGTATGAAGGAAGAGTATGTAAGACTGAGCTATGTGAGTAAACTAATTTTACTGTAATTTTAGAAATTACAGTAACATAGAAACACAGAAACACACAGTCTTCTCTCTTTACCTAGAGTACAAAAATCTGATTTGAAATGATTAGAAGCTCAGACCCTTTCTCGCACAGTGGTAGTTAGCCTTTTTACCCTTTTATCCTCCTCCACCATCACCACCACCACCATCTTATAGAGCACTTGCCATGTGCCAGGGACTGTATTAAGTGCTTCACATGCAGTACTTCATTTAGTTTTCACAATGACCCACTGAAAAGTAATACTATAATTATTATATTACTGTAGATAAGAAAACAAAGGATGAAAGGGAGCAATTATTTTGTCCAAAGTCACACAGCTAGTAAATGGTACAGCCAGGATAAAAATGCAGTGTGATTCTAGGGCAGGGATCAGCAAACATTTTCTGTAAAGGGCCAGCTAGTACATATTTTAGGCTTTGTGGGGTATAGGTCTCTGTTTCAGCTGCTCATTTCTGCCCTTGTAGTATTAAAAAAGGCATAGATAATACATAAACCAATAGGCATAGCTGTGTCACAATAAAACTTTATCGACAAAATAGGCAGTGGCCCAGGGGCTGTCATTTGCTAACTCTGCTCCAGAGTCTACGCTCTTGACCACTGTGCTATCATATCTAAACTCCAGGCTCCTCGGGAAAGCTGGGACAGACAGCAAAAAGATTCCTGATTGGTTTTAATGGTTAACTCTAACAGCCCAACATGCTGCCAGCCTGGCGGGAGACTCGCTGAGACAGAGAGGTGAGCTTGCCAGGGACTGAGGGGTGGCAGACGGGACACTTACACTTCAACGATGCCCTCTGGCAGGTTGGTGGGAATCTCCGTCAAGCCCTTTCCTCGACAGTCCACGATGTTGTTACTGCAAGTGCAGGCTGAAGGGCAGGAGAGGGAGTTGGCATTGCAGGACGGAGGCTCTGAATGGGGGCCTGTGGGGCCAGAACACAATGGTCAACTCATGTCAGTGCCAGCAGCCGCCTGGGCCTTTGTGCCCTTTAACCAGCTTCCCAAGGATGCAGCATTACCTGATCCACTATCTGAAAAAAATTATTCCCAGCTGACATCTCTCCTCACCTGGGAGACACAGCTGCCACTGGCTAAATATTCAGCAAAGAGGAGCGATTCTGACCTTGATCTTGCTATTTCTGGATTGTTCCACCTGTTCTGTCTTCCTATCATCCCATTCTTTCAGAAAAAGAGGAGCTCTCAGAGTCAACCTTAAATGGAAATATGCCACTGAAATCCAAACAGCATACACTGGGACCACTGTCTCAGGGTGCCTGGTGTCTAAAGGGCATGCTAGGGGTTTTGGCTTTTACCTGGCGATTGCATACTGACTGTTTATATACCATCAATCCTTTCCCTGGTGGCTGGAGGCCACTATAGCTATCAACACCAGGTGGGAGGAATGTAAGTGGCAGAATTTCCCCATTTGGGGCATTGATGCTGTCGAAGTGTCAATGCAGCCATCAGCACTGACACCCAGGACATTTCCAAACAGCTTTTATGTCTAGAAAACAATAAAACTTATCTCATTAGAAAAAAGGCAAATAAGTTACTATAAATTTTGGAGTTGGCTCTTAATTTTGCTTGAGGTAAGAAACAGTGTGAATTTAAAGGAAAGCGGTAGAACCCCAAGAAAATGGCATCCAGGGAGTTTATTTAGAAAGGTAAATGCAGATAAACATATACATTACTAAACTAACTCAAGATTCAATGAGCTGCCAAGCATCTTAGTCACTTTTGCGGGTGGTCATATCAAATCCCTAATACAAGAAGTAAATCCAAACATTTTAAAGACATTGTAAAACTTTCATGCTATGACCCCTTCCTCAAAGCCAAGGAAAATCTTAAACATGTGGTTAGTTTTTCAAACGTAGGTGTTGTAGTCCAAAAGGCAAACCCAACCCAACAGCCCTGCCAAGACCTCATCCCACCACTGCTGGATCCAACCAGGGGGGGTTGTTTCAATGTCTTTCTAGATCCTCCTCCCACAGCAAGTGGTCACAGGCTGAGATGAAACTCAGCCTAACTCTGCAGACCTCCTCGCTGTTCAGACATGGGACCTCTGGCTGGAAGCTCTCGGATACAGTTTAAACACGCAACATGGAAAATGTCTGCAGGGAAAAGCTTATTTTGGTTTGGCCCCTGTTCACTGGAGACCCTGAATGTGGGAGGCCAGAGCTAGCCCAGCTGCAGCGGCTGAATCTGAGGACTAACCAGGACACTGAGTGAGACAAAGTGAAGGGTCCCAGTCTCCATGTTTAACAGCCCCCACGCTTGTGGGTGTTCTTTCTGTAGGGGCTCAAACTGATGCCTGCCACTTAATTTGGACCATTCACTTTCCTGGAAAATGCCAACCCAATGATCAAAGACTCTTACCTCCCTTGATCTCACTTACACAAAACAAAAATTTTAAATATCCTCTAAGCTTGGATGTTTAGTATTTCAAAGTTACCAGTGGCAAGGGTTTGTGGGGACTATGGAAAATCTCAGAGACTTGGTGATGTATATTGAAATCCCAATTTGGAACATCCTCTTAGAGACACAGGTGATACTGGTTTTGCTCCAAACTGGGAAAGCCTTTAAATTTCTAGGATAATGGCAATCCCGGACAGCCAGCCTGTAAGAGTCTCAGATTAGGGATCAGAGAGTGTTATGGCTGAGGGTGTGGGTTCTGGAACGCTACCACCTCAATCTGAATCCTAATTCTATCGCTTCATTCTTATTTCCCCGTGCCTCAATCTTCCCCATCTTATTTCATAACATGGCTTTGTTGTGAAGGCAAACACAAGTTAACGTGGGCAAGGCATTTAGAAGAATGCATGGCACATGGTAAGGGCTTAGTCATGTTAGATGCTATTATTATTACTACTGTTATCACCATTAGCCCTGCCTCTGCCACTATTTAGCTGTGAGACCTTGGGAAAGCCACAGTACCTCTCTGGGTGTTATCATCTCAGCAAATAAGGGGTTGGGACTGCATGATTTATGAAATCCTTTCTGGGCCTAAAGATGAACTATTCCTGTTCTTCAGAAAAATGGAAGAGAGAAAGATACATACCAGCATCTTTCCCTCCTCCTCTCCTCCTCTCTTTGTAGGTGACAAAGAGGGGCCACAGTGTGAAGGGCTCCCATCCATCACCCACACCCAGAGAGAGACTAGGAGCAGTTTGGCTTCAAATGTCAGGGCTTTTGAAATGCAGATGGAGCTCCCCAAAGAAAACCCGCCATGCCCAGTGGTCTTCCACATCAAGGAGGTGAGTGTGCTTGACAAAAGCAAGGGAGAATTGCTGCACCTCCTGTTTGGGAAATGTCAGAGGCCCCATGCAGGACTGGATTCCGAGCTCCTGTATTCCCACCTACTCAGTATAAGGGTATCCACTGGCCGTTCCTCTTCTGATCCGCCAATATCACTTGGATGGCATGTGTAGCAAAAGAAGGGGAAGAACAGTATATTCAAGGGCTCATATTGGCAAGAAGAAGTTCTGAAATGGAGCTTTTTCAAAGGTGCACCTTCTGACTCCCATGCTGAAATCAATTCAGACCAAACCAGAGCCCGGTTGCAGCTTTGAGTCCCTCTGGGAACTAGCTCAGTCTCTCACATGGTGGCTCTGGTTTTTATAGGGAGTGTGCAGTACATTTCAAGGGACATTGTCAAGGTTAAAAAAAAAAAAAAAACCTTTAGGAAAGATGCCTGAACCAGGTTACTAACAACACCTTTAATTACACAGACAGAAACAACGTAATTATAGCCTCTCTCAGCACTGCCAGCTGTCAGCGTCTCAGCCAGGCATTCACGTTTGGTGAAGACATTGTCCTCTTGTTTAAACAAAACACTTCAGGTTTCAGACGGGGTTGAAAGGTGGGTCCACTTCCGCTGGAAACATTCCTTCCTGATCAATGCCCCATGAACCAGGTCCATTTCCCTACGGGCCTCCGCCTGCTGTCTGAAGTCCCCTTCCCTTAGCTTTCTGTCTCTGGACAGACTGAGACTAGAATGTTGATTCTACAAGGGCAGTCACCTTGTCTAATCTTACCCAGTATTGCATCCCCAGTACCTAAAACATGGTCTGGCACAAAACACGAACTCTATAAGTTGGATGAGTGAGAGGATGAATGAATGAAACCGACCCAGAAACCTGTCAGACGTGAGGCCTGAGCCTTACCGAGCTATAGAGGTACGGTCCTTCTGGAATGGTCCTGAGGGCAGGCTCTCTGAGTCCTAAATGCCCTGGGCTCTTGCAGATAGGATTGGCCATAGGATGGTGGGATAGAGTAGTTATAACCAATAACCAGTTGCCGTTGAGTCAGTTTCGACTCATGATGACCCCATGTGTGTCAGAGTAGAACTGTGTTCCATAGGGTTTCAGCTGCTGACTTTTCGGAAGCAGATCGCCAGGCCTTTCTTCCAAGGTACGTCCGGGTGGACTCAAATTGCCAGCCTTTTGGTTGGCAGCTGAGTGTGTTAAGTCTTTGCACCATCCAGGAACAGAGTGGCTATAAGAGACAGGAATCTCATTCCTGAAGCTTACTTCTTTGTTCACTGTTCTCAGTGCTGGCAAAGGCCATTTGCCCTATCACCTGGGGCTCCCTGTGAGCCTGATTCCACCTGCACAGGTCAGGGTGTTTTAGGCACTCCACTGAACTCTCTCAGCAAGCCCAGCCCTCCCAGCCTTTCCTGTCCACACTGGAGGGTGGGGAGGGTACAGGAGGTAGTGGATTTCCAAGGAGGACAAAGTAGGAAAATACCTACCTTTCTACCCAACAAATTATTTAACCATATCTTGGGAAGCGGAGAAGTGTGGGGATGGAGTTTTTATATCAGGATATCTTTGATGAAAAAGAACTATCTGAACACATGCCTGCATGCATTCTTTTGTATAACATGCTCTCATGGGGTCTCACGAAGTCACTTTGTTCTTGAGTGAGTCTGTCTATTGGGTCCTACTTCCTACTCTCCCAGGCAAAGAAAGTGGCCTTAAATCAGAGCAAACTGATGGACTGGTCTGCAGAACCCCTGCAATCTACTTGCTAAGATGTTCTATTACCTACTTAGGAGCGCATGTGGACTCGCTCTTCACTTCTGTGTAAGTGCCCATGCTATCTGCTCTTGAAACTCCCACAGTGGTACTAACATGCTTCTCCACTCGGGTGGAAGGATGTGCTCGTCCAGAATAGGGAGATGGGGCTGTGAGCCATTCCTTGTCTCCCTCTGGGGGCCCATCACCCCCTTTCTTAATCACTGCCACCACTTTAGCTCTGGTATCTCAGTCTGAAGTCAAAGTTGCCAAGTAAGGAGGTAAGTGGCATGCCCAGCGTTCTGATTTCTCCTAAGACTCCCTGGACTGTGGGCTGATGTCTTGAGGGCAGAGCTCCAGGCATGGAGACAGCTGGCCTTTCCCTGCTTCTCACTGATCATTAAGGGGTGCTTCCCACCAGGGGGGCATTCAGTGAGCGGGAGCAGGGGTGCATTGCCAGCCAAACTTCTCCTAGGGAACATCTCTGTGGTTGCTAGCATAGACACTGTACTCACTATCCTATCTCTGTTTAGTGGACAAGCTCCCCTCCAGTTCTGAGAGAGAAGAAGAGATGGAGCGATGACCAGGGTTACTGGCTCCTGCCCAGGTGCCACATCATCTTTGTTTTCCACCTAGTTGGCAAAATGAGGATGATGATAATGGTGAAAGTGAAAAGCCCTTACTTGTTTGCCCAGGTGAGTGGGGCAAAGATCATAGAACTTTAGAGCTAGAAGGGCCTATGGAGATGGAAACAGAAGCCCAGAGAGAGAGCACTTGCCCAGGGACACAGTGTTGGCCAGAGGAAGAATAATCATCATCTTCATAATAGCAGCTAACACTTATTGAATGTTGCCTATGTGCTAGATACTGCGTTAGGTGCTTTGAATATATTATTTCATTTGATCCTT